AATGTGCTGAATCTTATTATACTTTAAATGATTAAACCCTAGTGGTCTGAATTTAAAACGACAGTTAATGTGTATTTTGAAGCTGCACAATGAGTTCCTGAGTCTTTTAATATTTCATCAAATGAGCCTAGTTCAAAAAAATATTTATTTGATAAATAAACTATTCTTACCACTGACTTTATGCAAAAATAAAAAAATGCATGTTTTTGTTTATTCCTAAAAAAATGAGCAGGAAACAAAAAAAAGGACAAAAAAGAAAACCACTACTAGACATTTGTTGTTTTGATATTTGAAAAGCCATTTTTCATCACTGCTCTGTGTATTTGTACAGTAAAACTGCAGGGGTTATCTACCGGGTTTGCAAACTTTGCATCATGACCCAGATTTGACTTCAATCATCAAATGGTGACCCAAATCAGTGACAAAAATGTCTAGCATATAAAATGTTGACAGAAATGTACAAAAACAAACATGAACCTTAAACCAAGTTCAGCTATGGGCTAAATAATTGGTATTAGACATGCACAGGTCATGTTTGGTAATTTGCTCATTTATTTGCACATTACATAAAACTACTACAGAGATAATAAGTGACAATACATCATTAAAAGATGCATAAAATCAGTAAATAAAATAACATAATGAACATTATTTAACATTCAAAAGATCACCTAAATTATACGAAATTCAGATTAACAGTTTCCTGTATTTTGTGATTAACACGTTTTCGTTTTCCTTTCATTTAGGATTTTAAAGTGCATTATGGGACCTTACTCTATGCCCTGTTACCTTTTGATTTTAAAAAGTTTAACAAAGTGACTTTTATAAGACAATATACACTTACTGGCCACTTTATTAGCACTGGGTTAGACCCACTTGTGCCTTCAGAACTGCCTTAATCCTTCATGACAGATTCAACAAGCTACTGGAAATACTCCTCAGACATTTTGCTCCATATTGACATGATAGCATCACGCAGTTGCTGCAGATTTGTCGGCTGCACATCCATTATGCAAATCTCTTGTTCCACCACATCCCAAAGGTGCTTATTTGGATTGAGTTCTGGTGACTGTGGAGGCCATTTGAGTACAGTGAACTCATTGTCAGATTCAACAAACCAGTCTAAGATGACTTACGCTTTATGACATGGCATGTTATCCTGCTGGAAGTAGCCTTCAGAAGATGGATACACTGTGGTCATAAAGGGATGGACATGGTCAGCAACAATACTCAGGTAGGCTGTGGCATTGACACAATGCTCAATTGGTACTAATGGTCCCAAAGTGTGCCAAGAAAATATCCCTTATACCATTACACCACCACCATTAACCTGAACCCTTGATACAAGGCAGGATGGATCCATGCTTTCATGCTGTTTATACCAAATTTTGACCCTACCATCTGAATGTCGGAGCAGAAATCGAGAACCATCAGACCAGGCAATGTTTTACCAATCTTCTATTGTGCAATTTTGGTGAGCCTGTGTAAATTGTAGTCTCGGCTTCCTGTTCTTAGATGACAGGAGTGGCACCCGGTGTGGTCTTCTGCTGCTGTAGCCCATCCGCCTGAAGGCTGGACATGTGCATTCAGAGTTGCTCTTCTGCAGACCTCGGTTGTAACGACTGCTTATTAGAGTTACTGTTGCTTTTCTATCAGCTCGAACCAGTCTGGCCATTCTCCTCTGACCTCTGCCATCAACAAGGCATTTGCACTCACAGAACTGCCGCTCACCAAGAGATGGTTGTGCTTGAAAATCTTAGTAGATCAGCAGTTACTGAAATACTCAGACTAGCCCTTCTGGCACCAACAACCATGCCACGTTCAGTCACTCAAATCACCTTTCTTCCTCCTTCTGATGCTCCATTTGAACTGCAGCAGATCTTCTCGACCATGTCTACATGCTTAAATGCATTGAGTTGCTGCCATGGGATAAGCTGATTAGAAATTTGAGTTAACAAGCAATTGGACAGGTGTACCTAATAAAGTGGCCGGTAAGTGTAGGTAAATTACAGTACAAAAACTGAACAATAAGTTGTCAGCATTTGTATGCTGTTCTGTTGTACAAAATTATATTTATGGATGATTAGACAGTATATTTTTCAAAATGTTTATCAATATTAAAAGTTTTCTTAGCAAGAACTTTAATCATTACGGTCTACAGGTTAGAATAAACACAGTTTCGTTTGACATACAGTAAATACATCTGTCACACTGAATGCCAATGACAGCTAATTTCACTCATGTTTTCAAGCACAAGACACTTTACTAATACTTAATATGCATGTAAAATCACTTTCTGAAATTAAATTGGATGTGGACAACAAAATAGGACGTCTCATCTTTGGCCTATATTATTTCATGCACGCCATGGGTACAGCATGATGTTAAAGCAATGCCAAGGCCATGGGTTTGATTCTCATGGAATACATGAATTGATTAAATGTATTATACAATGAATGCACTATACAATGCTTCAGATAGAAATGTCAACCATCTGCATGAATTTAAATGTGACCGTAGCAAAGCAAAAATATGGGACACTGTAGGTTGGATGGAACATTGGAATTGCTCTATTTGTATATATATGTTTGTATACATATGTCACAATGTTACATGTGACATGTGCAGTAAAAATTTGAAGCATGAATTCACATAGAAATTATATGTTAGCATTAAATTGAAACATCCATTTACATTTTCCAAAACAACTAACCACAGAGTTACGGGATATTCAGAAAAATATCAATCTGTAAGCATTTTTTATATTATAAATGAAAAAAATAAACATGCCTTATCAATGTAACCTAAAAAGTATGCAAGTTTACAGTGTACGACATACTTTGTAGAAATTCTGTGAATTAAACTGCACAACCCCATACAAATAATGCTGATCGAGAGGATAAGAGTTGACTCACTATAGAACAAAACTGATTGATTCTATTTTATTAGAGATTTTTGCATTTATAAGGGAAAAGGTTGGTTATGGATGTGACATCTCTCTGTTATGGATGTGACAGATGTGAAATTGGCACTAGGTCTGCCACAATGTTCGATATATCGACTTGTCGCACAACACATGGATATGACCTCAATCATTTTTGCTGATGCAATATATATCGCCCATACATGCAAAACAATTCTAGTAACATTTTAGCTGATTGTGCAACATCTCTAGGTGTCAGTGTCAGTATGCTTAAAAAATAAACACTATAGTATTTACTATACATTGCTTTAGTATATTTTCATATGGGTGTCTGACAACTAAAAATAGATCTGCTAGCAGATATCACAGCCTGTTACTTTTTTACCTTGCACTTTTTTGTTAACATTTATTATTATTTATTTAGGATATGCGTTTTCACACTCTGATTTCAATGCCTCAGTATTAAATCGTTAAAATTATAAGAATTAAATTTAATATTCTTAATAATAAAATATGATGTGTTCTTTGGAAGAGTGTGATTGAATTGCGATATTATATTGTCATTCTGGCATTATATAATGAGTGGCATGAAGTGGTCTTAAAATAACAATAATATCATGTATTGCAATATATTTCGATGCAGTATATCGTACAACAAAAAATAGATATCGGGACAGATCTAATTGGCACTTGTGTGGCTTTGCTAAATCAAATACAATTGTTTGAAAACATTGACAGAGACATTTTTGTGTATTTTTACAGTACTGTAACATTCAAGTCAACACAAAACACTTAAAAACTAGTTTCGCTACTTTGCTGAAAACTTTATATTTTTCATGGCAAGGTTAACATTTGCGTGAAATTGCTCGATACTCATATGGATTTACATTCGATGGGTGCCCTGTTAAAATCTAACAACCTCAAAAACTGCTGACTTCTGTTGTGGAACAAAAAAAAAAAAAAGCTAAACATTACAATTTATTGTATACATTTGAAGTGAGAATTATAATTATTAGCCCCCCTGAATTATTTAACCCCTGTTTATTTTTCCCCCCCAATTTCTCTTTAATGGAGAGCAGATTTGTTCAACACCTTTCTAAACAATAGTTTTACTAACTCATTTCTAATAACTGATTTATTTTATCTTTGCATGATGACAGTAAATAATATTTGACTAGATTATTTTCAAGACACAGCTATACAGCTTTAAGAGACATTTAAAGGTTTAACTAGGTTGATTAGACAGGTTAGGGTAATTAAACAAGTTATAATGACGTTTTGTTCTGGAGACAGTCCAAAAAAAATTGCTTAAAGGGGCTAATAATTTTGACCTTAAAATGGTTCATAAATTTAAAACTGATTTTATTCTAGCCGGAAAAAACAAGACTTTCTCCAGAAGAAAAACATATTATCAGATATACTGTAAAAATGTCCTTGCTATGTTAAACATAACTTGGTAAATATTTTTTTAAAAATCAAAGGGGGTTTCTTCTAAACATCATTTTTATCAGGTTCAGTAATTTTACTTTTTTGGCAAAGAATAAGTCCTTTACATGGTCTTCAAAGTGAAATAACTCAACAAAGGAGGCTAAGAAAAATGCTCATTTTTGATTGAAATTCCTGACGGCACGTTGTTTTTTTTGCATCTAAACTCTTCATTATGCACTCTGAGGTTAATTTCATAAACAGCAGCCAGCCATCAGTGTTCATCATAGTGAACTAAAATATTTGACATGAATGGATGACTTGGTTATCTCAGAAAAAGATAATTTCTGAAATAAAGGACAGATGTTGAACCATCCGTTTGAAGTTTCTGAATGAAGAAAACTCATTCTCTTCAAAAACTCAATAAAAAATAAAAGATGTCAAAAGCTGTAAACATTCAGCATATGGAAGCAGTCAGACTAAATCCTGCTGACGATTCACAACACGCATCACACACAGAGAGAGGAGTCCAAAACACTGAACGAATGACAATATGGTGGAAATAGTGTGAGAAAAAGGCGCTAAAAACCCATTCCCACCTTATTGCCATTCATTCATTCATTCATTCATTCATTCACTAACTCCCCCGTACCTTGACGCTGGTGCAGCTGGTCTGGGTCTCGGCCTCTGTGCACATCTGTCCGCCGCTGTTCTCTCTCCGCTCCCGGTGGGAGTTGGTCCGTGTGTGCCTGGTCTGGTACGCGATCACGGAGGGGATGGTATCCGCCGCGTCGGTCTTAATGAAGAGGCCGTGCAGGGTGGTCGCGGTGCCCTGCGAGATAGTAGTGGTCTGGTGCGGCGAGTTGGACTCATCCGAGTCGCGGCAGTAGATCACCCCGCTCTGCGAGACGTGAATGCTGGGAGCGCAGCCCATCGTTCCCCGCGCCTCGCTGCGCAAAACCCGGAGGAACGAATCTCAAGACCTCCGCTGCCGCTCCCGGGCCGCTGTCACGCTGCCGTTCCCCCGGTACATGGGCCGGTGCTCGCGCTGCTCAGTTCCGCCTGACTCCCCAGCGCGTCACGGAACAGAAACGGAGAGGAGATCCATCTCGCAGCGTTATTTATCAGCGATCATATCAGGTCAGATCGATGACACCTCGGCTGTCCAACCGTGAGCCCCTTGCGCTGGTGCCGTGTCACATTTTGGACGAATTACACCTCATTCCGCGTCGGCGTAACAGACTAAAGATCCAAGCTCCTCGCTGCGATGCATTTTCTCGTAGAACTGATCATCTGTATGTTCATCACGACGTCAGAGCTCTTAAATAACAGGCGCAAAGCACCAGACTCTGAGAAAATGTCTCAAACTTACACTCAGGGTCCTTTAAGACACATGAACGTCATCAGTGACTCCCTCTTAAACACACACGCACGCACACACACATGCACACACAGTGAGAGAGAGTGTGGGATAATGGTGGCTTCATGTTTTGCTGTTTTAAACGAGATTTTCACTACTGTAAATAATCACATTTAATAACATGAAGAATGCATAAGTCAAACTAGTGTTTGACTCAATAACTACATATGCACTATACACTAATATAACAATTAAAAACATCTAATTTTTACAGCAATGCTTAAAAAAGAATAAATTTGGCACCACAAAGAAGCTTCCAGTAAACAGTTCATATAAGACGACTTTTTTTCTGATTAAAAAGTGTGAGCCATAGTAACCGAGGCCTGGAAGACTTTGGTTGTTGCTGACATATCAAGAAGATGCCATGCGAAAGCAAATCTTCTAATACAGTAAAAACATACAGGGATGCACCGATGCACCAAATGTTCAATGACATTTTCAGTTTTCAGCCAAAAGGGAAAACATATAAACTAAAAAAAGGCTGTTGCATTAATGTAGTCACTGCGCAGGCCCAGCGTTACAGGGGAATTCCCCCCTCTGAAAGAATTTGTGCCCCCTCAGTTTTCATAAGTAATTAGTTTACTGATAACTAAAAATTCTCTATGTCATTAATTATTAACACTTAATTTTTGAAAATTGTGAAATTAGAGCAATAGTCCAGAGATCTGGTCCCCACGTAAAGTCAGCGTGAGCCCACATAAACACGCACACAGAGGCACACTCTAAACTCAAACAGGAGAAAACTGCACTATATAGTGGCCTAATTCATTACATGTTTTTGGTTAACTAATTATTAATATAATAATAATAATAATTATAATACAACTCTCTTGAGCTCTACAGGGGAAAAAAAACGCTAAAGAAATTTGCTGTTAAATTAACTTTAGCCGAGACGCAGCTGCCAGTCATTTTTACATTCCTTTTCCAGTTCGGGATTAATATTAGAGTAGCCTAATAAACATGTTTAGATACTGCACAGTCTACACTATACAGTAGGCTACACTATAATTAACATTATAACTCATTATTATTATTAAGATCATTAAAACTAAACTATAAAATTGATAAAACGCAGAACCTTTTAGAACATTTGCTTTTATTTTGATATCTCTAAAGCGCACTGTTACATTTGTGGAAAAAAACATCCCACTAGCAGCAGTCTAGTTAGGACACTCAAAAAATGCTTTTTGAGGTTAAGATAATCGGCCTGCGAAGTCAAGTTTACAATGATAAATGAAATAGGTATATGATGCGTGATGTGGATTTGCCCGGATCAACCTCTCACATGATTTTATTTTTACTGGTGGCTCTAAATGTAAAAATGTAACCTGAAAACAATTTATTAAAATAGGCTAAATAAATAAATAAAAAGACAAGTACGCCTAATAGCCCAATGGTTGATGGTGGTGTTTTTACAAATGCCAACTGGAAAATTTCACAAAAAAAAAAAAAAAAAAAACTGAAAGCCTAACATAACTCTTTATTTTTACCTTTAAACTATTATATTATTTGACATAAATGGAAATAAATAAGGAGAATAAAAAATAATTTAAACCATTTCTTAATGTCCACACCGGCGAAGAGTACCGCGTTTGCTGCCGGCTCCTAATAAAAATGAATGATCTCTAACAACTTTGTCGCCTCCGGTGTGAACGTACAGTTATATGCATTTATCACACACAGGCACGTGCACACATAGGGCTCAACCTGTGCAGTGCACATGCCCTTTTTAGTCTTGGATAGAAAGTGCCCTTCCAAAAAGATCAAATGTGCCCCCGCGACGTGACACACCCTCGGTCCCGCCCTTCAGTAGGCGTGCGACAACACCGCTCTTGAGTACGCGCAACAACACAATTCAAGTTGTAATTATTTGATTTATTGGCTAGATCATCTTCATTTGTACGATCTGATAATTTTGTACATTTTATTATGATTTGCTCATTCCCCAAGGAAGATCAGGATCAGGAGTAGCGTTTAGGGGCACACCTCTTTTTTATAAATTGTATAAAATTTTTAAAAAGAGGCATGCCCCCAAACCCCATGGGTCCATTAGGGATGTGCAATAGGGTATTTACCGAAGCATGCTAATAGGACTTTAATTTGCCAGTAACCTGGTTTAAGTGCTTCCGGCGAACTGTGTGCCAATACAAAAACCGGCGCGTTTAAGGTCTGTTTTCTTTAAAAATAAGCAATCTCCACTGGCTGAGTGATATCCGATATAAAGTGGGTCTCAGATTGTACAAGAACCACTGCATTAAATAACATTTCCCCCCTCATGTCTTTATAATATGAGCATTTATTTACCCCAGTATATTCAATGGAGCTTCTGCGCTAGCCTGCCGATTCTGACGGACGTGTTAAGCACCTAAATGAATGCCAAAGTTTAATTAACTGAATGTATTTTAATGACATTACAACATCGATGCTGTAAAAGGAACCGTATAAAATGAAAAAAAGTTCACAATAACAGGTCTTATCAGTATGAAGTTTATCAGTATGACATAAAACATTACATTAGCTCAACATTAGCTCGGCATATACCCTATTAATCGAAAATTTGGTTTCGATTTTGGCTTCTAACTATTATGAAAAAACATTAATCAAGATGAAAATATTATTGCATCATATACCTCCCCCTTTCCAGTTTTACACATTTGTTGATCTGCAAAGCTCACTTTCACGTGAACAGGACTAAAAGCATGTGCTGTAATGTAACTTTTGCAGCATGGGATGCGCATCATTCATTGATGTGCATTCGAATCATTCAAGTTTTTAAAAGTGCCAAAGAGATCGCATGCTGTTGTGTGTGTGCGCTCAGCCTCGAACACGAGCAGAGCACACATATCTAAAGTCTTCTCAATGTGAGCAATGTAATGGTTAAATAGGTGTCAAAATGCGGTGTTTAGTGATTATTCATATTAACCCTCATTTGTTTAATAAACAAATGAGTTGAGAATCAAAAAACATGTGAAAGAAAAACTATAATTAGAACCGTACTGCTCTTAAAGTGACTGTGCAATATTCCTGCTACTAACTGTTTTAATCATTAATCAAACAACAAAAGGACTAAATCACTCACTGCTCTTGACTGAAGGACTGCTGTAGCTATTATAAAGTTTCTTACAGTGAGGATGCTTAAAGCACAGATGGTTCATGTTTTTATTCTATTGTATTTATTTCCCTTTCCTTTTTCACAGGGAGAAAAATAACTGAATATATACAGATGAAGTCACAATTATTAGTCCTCTTGAATTATTTGCGACCCCCCTCCCCCTATTTTCTGTTTAATGGAGAGAGAAAAAAAAAATAAAAAAATCAACCGATTCCTAAACATGATAGTTTTAATAAGTCAGTTCTAATAACTGATTTCTTTTATATTTGCTATGATGACAGCACATAATATTTGACTAGATATTTTTCAGTGCGATTCAAAGGCTTAATTAGGGTAATTAGGCAAGTCATTGTATAACAGTAGTTTCTTCTGCAGACAATCATATTGCTAATAATATTGACCTTAAAATAGGTTTCAAAATATTGAAACCTGCTTTTTTTCTAGCCAAAATAAAATGAATGACTTTCTCTAGGACAAAAAAATATTATCAGACATACTGTGAAAATTTTATTGCCCTGTTAAACATCATTTGGGAAATATTTATAAAAAAAATAAAAAATTCACAGAAGGGCGAATAATTTTGACTTCAACTGATAATCGTTTTGAATAATCGTGATTAAAATTATGACCAAAATAATCGTGATTAGGATTTTTACCATAATCGAGCAGCCCTAGTGTCCATGCATGTAACTTCTAAAACTAATGTATGGATTTGTTTAAATAAAAGCTTAAAGTGAAGATTATGGCATTCGGTGTAATCATTTTTATATAAAAATGTATATTGTGTGAAGTACATTTAACTCTAAAGAAGTGTTGATCTCTAATACTGATAAGGAGCTCATATTTTATTAAGTTTTACAAGTACTCTCAGTAGATTTATTATTTGAACTAAAAAAATAAATTAAAAAAAGTTACATTTTAACTCCAAAAAATGTGTTAATTTAAGTTACTTTACCTCTTTACTGGAGTTAATTTGATGGTCACGCATGTACACTCAGATTGAGTTGATTTTAACTCCTAGGGTGTTTCGTCAAGACCAAAAATTTGTTGTGTGCATTTTCCTGTTGGTTAAATTTTAGAATGTCACTCAAAGTGACTATTCATTCATTCATTCATTCATTCATTCATTTTCCACTGGCTTAGTCACTTTATTCATTAACAGTCGCCACATAGGAATAAGCCACTAACTTATCCAGCATATGTTTTACACAGCGGATGCTCTTCCAGCTGCTACCCAGTAATGGGAAACACCCATACAATCTCACACTCACACCCACACATACATTACAGGCAATTTAGTTTCTTCAATTCGCCTGTACCGCATGTCTTTTGGACTGTGGGGAAAACCAGAGCATCTGAAGGAAATCCACGACAACACAGGAAGAACATGCAAACTCCACACAGAAATGGCAACTGGCCCAGCCGGGACTCGAACCAGCGACCTTCTTGCTGTGAGACGACAGTACTAACCACTGACCCACAGCGTCATCAAAAATGACTTTATATTATTTGCTAAAATAATAAATAATTAAAAAGCATTTTCAGTTTTGTTTTTCAGCCAAGTGCATCCAGAATTTTGGCTTTGGCCCAGAATGTTTATTTCGGTGGATTTCTAATTCCAACCAATCACAGAGCAAAGTAGGCTTTAGAAAAGCAGCGTTTAGTAACACTGGATGTTTAAATAAACCATTTCAGACAATGAAGAGCTGAGCTGAGAACAGCTGAACTGTATATTTTGAGAAAGTTAAAGTGTTTTTGACCCTGAATGAATGTAAACTTATACCGTCGGAGACTCCGAAACCAAATTAGGGACCTTGAAAATAGCAAAATAGGGATTTTATAAGATTAAAGATTGCAC